GCACTGATGTGGTGGAAATTTTCCAATAATCACCTATAGTACCAAATATATCCCAAGTGTTTTTGTTTTTATTGTTTATTTGATAAATGTTGAAACCAACACAGTGGTTTCATGCACAATAAATGTCAATGCCTAAGTGGCACTGAGGTAGAAAGTGAGAAACATTTAAAGATATCTCAGCTAAACAGCAAAAGCAATAAACATTTAAAGTAAAGTTTTTCAAATAAACGTTTAAAGCAATAAACACCCACATAACCAAACACATACATTGTTTGTCTTGGGTCATCTGTTAAAACAACCCTATGGTTTGCAATTGATTTACTTAATCAACCTTCCATTAGATAATAGTGGAAAATGACAACTTTGACCCTAATGTTCATTTAAATAAAATTAATAAAACGAAAACAAAAATAAAAATTAAAATACCATTTTTGCCCTAATAAAGACATGAACAACCACTCTATTTGGATTTATTTGGTCAAATTTTTTCTACACTATGAATATAAACAATAACTGCCTCATGCCATTAACATTTTCCACTTGGTTTAGGTAATCATGTTACTTTTTTTCGTATGGCAAAACAAATACTGAAAGGTCAATTAAATAAATAGGTTGTAAACTAATTGAGGTGTTTAATAAAATGAAAACTATAGGGTAGGCTGAAATAAATTCATCAAACTATAACGGAGTTCTAGTAAATGACCCTTTAGTCTTTAAACCAAAAGTAAAAAAATGGAAATTATCTCTTCAGATATAGACATAGAGTTAGCTAGTGGGGTCAATAGGGAGCTTCCATACAAGTTCTATCATGAATGTGAGCTGCCCAGTGCCTAACCCCATCAACTTCACATTGTACCATCTTTTTTTGTATGTTTTGTTACACCTAACAGATAATATTGTTATACTGGGTCATGATGATATCAAAATATTACAATTGCTCAAAAAGCAATATTTTGTTCTCACTACTGTGGCAAGGGTTTTAGACTGAAAATTTCCCTGGGAATTAGGAAGACGATTTTTTTTTTATTTTTTATTTTTATTTTTTGGGATAAATGAGCATAAGGCAGGTCTTATGCATGTATACAAGTAAATGGTAAAAATATAAGTTGGTATTGTATATCGAATTTAACTTTTATGACCTTCACCCAAACCTGGGAAATCACCTGATTTATAATTGTATAGATAACAGGGAAGACAAACTTGTGGGGCCATTTTTGAGTCCTATCCAGTTTCCAGTTTGCCACATACATAGATTCATTGGTTATTTATTCAACCTCCACTGCTAAACCACTTGACTATAAAATCACTCTGTCATAAATGATGTGTTGAGAAGGGCAAGTAAGAAATATATTGAGACCTAATATTATTTTTTTTGGTAAAGTGGGTTTTGATTCATTGATTGGTTGAGTATATAGTCAAAATTTTCATTTTATTCCTTTTATTCGTTTGATTGTGTTTCATAAAAATAGTTTTTTCTTTGAAATTTTGAATTTTAAATCAAAATCCTTGATTTTTCTTTTTCTTCCTCAAGTTCCATGTGAAAAATTACAAGCTTTCTCATAGACAATGAATAAAAATTTCCATAGGCTTGGCTTAATGCACATAATTCTCTCCATTTTTGTGAGCAAGTGAAAAGTTGAAGGAGATATGATGGGTAGAAAGGTACACAGAAAACCAACAAAAGATGGTAACAGCTACAGCCCTTAACAATTCATCACTTTGGGATGCTCTGCCTCAAAACCTTTGTTGTTTCTCTCCTTCCACTCTTCCAGACTCACCCACCTAAAAACTGCTTATGTGACGAGACTCCAAACCTTCTTACCATCTAGCCACCCAGAAACCCATAAACAAATTGAGGGAATACCCAACTGATATTAAGGAGGTTCAAAAAGAAGCCTAGATCCCCCAGGTGGTATGGCTGTGAACAAAAAGGTAGTCCAGAAGTCTCCAACTGCTGATTGTAGAACACACACCTGACCTCCAATACTACGTCAATACCTTTCCTGCACAGGTTCACCTTCGCATGGATATTATCCAGCACTATAGTCCAAATGAGGAAAGACACTTTTGATTGTACCCCATACACCTAAATCAAGTTGTGAGGGAACTTTGGATGAGGGTCACACATGGCCCTAACACAACTTCACAAAGAAAATACCTGAATGTTCCTTTTGTTGTCATTACTGCTAGTGGCTGGGAGATGGCCCTGAATTTTTGCAAGCAAATCCTCCACTTCATTAAGCTCCCAGTCTTGCAAATTTATTATGAATTTGGGGCCAAACAACATCTCATTAATAATGTAGTAGCAATTGGAAATTTTGCATTATGTATTCTGGGCCACACAAATAAGAGGGCTGGGAACAAACATTTAAGTGACCTGTCATCACACCAAATATCTAGCCAAGATACTTACATACATATTCATATAATATATATAGACACATGCATTTGGAACTTATTATATATAAAGCATTTTCTGTTCAGAAGAAATAAAACTTAGTCATTTATTTCCAATGAAAAACAACTAACATACTGTGAAGATAAACTATGTATTTTAACAGGAAAGCATGAATCTGATCACCAATAACTCTTCGCTAATCTGGTAAATTACTAACATGTCTTTAAATCTGATTTTCACAGAACATCACATACACTCCTGTTTGGCACACTCTCAAACAGAAGGTCTATACTAGTATACCACCACAATCAACAAACTAAATATAATCATCCAAGGCGATCACAACTTAAAGAGAAAAAAACTCTCACAGATCTTATCCCTGGCATGGAGATAAATTCAGATATATGACAAGTAAAAAAAAAAAGATACTAGGAAAAACTGCAATACACAACCAATCTGATACCATGTTTTAATGGCAGAATAGCAGATAAAACTGAGTTTAGCTACCAAACAAATAAAATAAAATAAAACTGTCTTCATAACTAGCTGGAAAGACATTCATATCCCTACTTACATCACCACTGCTAACATTGGGTGTAATTATAGGATGGATCCAAAGAAATATCACGTAATTTTCCAGCACAGGAACTCAATGAAGTGGGAAGTCTGGTTAGAGCGTTAGAGAGAGAGAGAGAGAGAGAGAGAGGCCTGGCTAAATAACTGAGAGCATCGCATCTTTCATTTGGACCCATATATCAGCCAATGGTATGGCTGATGCATTGGCAAGAAAAGATGTATCAAATGCATATCTGTTTGGGATTTTGGTTGCTAGGGAGTTCCTTGAAAATAAGAAATGTGGAATCTTGTCTAATGCACAAAATATACCTTAAGAAAGAGCACAATCATGCAAATTGTGACCTCTTGTTTGCAGTCATGAGGCTACTAGGTTTTATGATAAATGAAGGGATTGGATTCAAGCCTGCATATCTACTGCTTCAGATTCAGTTGTAATTAATTGGTCTTCTACCAAATCCTTTAGATACTGTAGAAACCTTAAACAGGGAGGTCCACTCTCCCCAGTGCCTCTTGTTCTTGTTATAGAGGACTGACTAAACAAAACCAATGATGTAGAAGAGCGAAGCTCTTAGACTTATTTCTGGTCTCAAGTTAAAAAGAAGCTTCAATAATCAGTCATTTTCAATAAGCAGATGGTTTTGTGATTTTTCTATCATAGGAATTGTAATTTGTCCAATTGGAAAATTCATTTTGGTTTCAATGTCGAAGGTTTCATATTCAGCAAGGCAGGGGCAAACGTTTACAATACCACAACTACATATAATTTTTGTCCTAAATTTGACAATAAATTGATTATTTGAGCAGTACAAGTTTTGGCACCAGAACATAAAAACACCTCTTAAGTGGGTTCCTGCAAATCTGTCAGATGAGAAATCTTTTTTGGAAACGAGTTGAAGTAAAACAAAAGTGTAGTTCCCATGATTCATGATGGCATCAGAGCATCATATTTTAGTTTTGAGTTCAGTTCAGAAAATATCTGAAATGGCCTCATTTGAATGGTGAGAGCCATAATGAATAAACCACAGTGAATTGCCTTTGAAGATTGAACTACTGGTGGTTTATCTATAGGCAAGGTGAAATGGGAACATCTTACATTAGCTTTCAAAATAAATTGTAAATTCATTCCAGTAAACCCTGAAATATGGCCCCATTAAAGTGGTGTTTAGTTCATGGTTCTAAAAAAGGGTGGTATGGTTCTAGAACCATATGAATCCTTTTTTTTTTGAAAAATACAATTGTTTTTTTTTTTTTTTCAAACCACACAATGCAAAAGGTATTGCTCTATTCATGATTCATTTTTTTGAACCATGATATGCGATTGTATGATTCATGTGTGCATGGGCTTTCACCATCTACTTTTGATTGTTCTAGTGTGATGGCATGTGCTATGCACAGATGCAAGTAAGAAGTAAAGATATGAATTGACATTATACAATCAAAATTTAATTTTTATGACCTGCACCAAAACCAAGGCAAGTATCCACTTTATAATAGTATAGACGGCATCAAATAGAGATATGACCGGAGGAGCTATATTGGTGCATGCATAAGACACACTTTATAACTGGCATGCATATGCTTACATCGATGAACAATATTTCCTAGTTCAGAAAGCCATAAAAAGTTGTGTTCAAAAAAGGCCATTTTTCTGGTTCTGTAACCATGGATTGCTAGCATACAACGACAATGAAATCGTTCATTTCACATGGCATTACGGGCATAAATTGCTAGAGTACATGGCCACAAGCTAAGGCTCAATTTGGAAAGAGTACAAATACAAATATGTAGAGTACAAATACATACAAAATGTAAGGTTTTGCACTCTACAAATTTGTATTTGTACTCTTTCCAAACAGTGCCTAAAAGGCACAGTGAATGATGGCAAATAAGAAGGACAAAGTCCAGTTGCCTGTCCAATGTTTAATTGTTTATGCATTAATTCAACTGAAAATTATGTGTGTTACATAGTCAGATATAAATCATACAATTCACTACCAAGAGGAAGTTAAAGAAGATGGGATCAAAATTACATATCAATGGAGGCTCTTTTAATTGTCCAAAAGATGCTGCTATTAACATGAGGAGCATAGAAAACAAGTTGACTGATATTTTGATCAATCTTCATTGCTCGACCGAGTTTGACATTGTAACAAAACAAGCAATTGCTGCATGAAAAGATCATCTCTTCCCCTTTTCCCAAGCTAACAAGAGGTTTAATGCAATGCAGAAATCTTGTGGGAACCACATCTCGTATAAGAACTGTGTCGATGTAATACTGTTTGATCCATCTCTTCCCACTGTAATCCTTCAAAACCCATATGTCAATTCGAGTGTGCTTGATGTTCACAAAAGCAAGAAATCCCCCCATCTCCAGGAGATGAACATTAATGATCTTACATTTTGGGAGAGGAGTTCTTTGGAATGTTTCATTACTGCAATCCAGTGAGAGAATGTGACTTCGGGAGTCAGTCTTCCAATGCAAAATTCCACCGTTTACCAGTATTGGGACCTCCATGGTCGATGGTGTTAGTCTGGAAAGAGGCCCATTCACATCTCTCCATGTATCATTGCATCTGCCATTAAAGCAACCTCTTAAACTAAGAATCTGACACTTAATGCCATACCAATGGCGAAATATGCATACCACCTTATAGTCTGCAGTGGAGGGAACAAATGCAAGCCCAAAAGTGCAACCGCTTGCAATGAACCCATTACACGGAGGAAGCCCTAACCATTGCCCAGTGATAGGATTAGTAATATGCAGAAGAGTATAATCGACCCAATTTTGCACCAGTAGCAAACCATTACAACTGGCCCTGATTTGGCCAGTGAAGAACCTGCTTAGGTCTCGAACCCTAATGTTTGCTCCTTCAATAGACATCAATTGTGTGTCGAACAGTGACCTCTTGGTGACAATTCGGTCCTGGATGAGTAAACAAGGCTTGGAGTGAAGGAGGTGTTCTTTGATGAACTGGGGATGCTTGATTAAGTTAAACCATTGGTTGCAGGCATACCTGAACTTATGAAGCGATTCAGCAGGAAGTCTACTAAGGATGTTGCAGATGATATGTTCTGGGATGTACATGTAGTGGGTGGTTCTTTTCTGCTCCCTTTTCTTTCTCTTCGTTTCCATCTCTCTACTTTTTGTACTCTTGTGATGAATAATTAGAACCAATTTCTCAACAAGAAACAAGGAAATACCAAACAAATCTTTCTTTCTTTCTTTCAGAAAAACAAGTTAGTTTCCTATATTGGCGGAAAACGTGTGCAAGTTAGTTTCCTACCAAAACTAAGGGTCTTCAAGTCAAAGTCCTAACCGTTTAAGGTCAGTTTGGAAATTTCTCACCGAAGGTCGTTTTGTGTTGTAACTCGTTAGTACTAACTACGGATGTTACTTATCCCCACTCGCCTTTATCGAGAGAGGTATGCCAGTGGAGGTTTTCAGACGTTGGATATGATCAAGGGCATACCTCTGATGTGTTGCCGTGGCCCACCTTTAGTTAGATGAAATGACGTGTTGGTGGGGCCACAGGCCACTGAAATACACCTAAGGCCATGATTTTCTATTTTAGCCCTGCGTTACGACAGTGTCGTAGCAAAAGTGAACTCAGTGATGACTGATGAACAGGCTGGACTTCAGATTACCGCCGGAGCATGAGGAGACGAAAGATAGATTAGAGAGAGAAAGAGAGTGGGAGGGGGGGGGGGCGCTTATTGATCGATCGATGGCGGGATTTCAATTTCTGTGGGTTATATCGGTTGATTCTCTTTCCCATTCAACCTGGTCCAGGGATCACAACATCTTTCGTCTCACTCTCAGGTAAGCTTCTTCCTGAATTACATTCGATGTTAATTTTCAATGGTTTGAACAATTCAATTAATGGTGCCCCTTTGGATGAGTTGAATTCCCCCTCCAAGTTACATCAGGTGTGGAGTTCTAATTTCCCAATCAATTGCCAGTTTTACAAAAAAAAGAAGTGACTATTGGAGGGTGAATATGGAAATGGCCTGTCCAAGTGGCCTCCTATCGAGTGGCATCTGAAATTGCTTAATCCATATGGCATATAAAAATATATTCAAAAGAAAAAAAAAGAAAAGCTATTAGTGTTATGAACTTATGATAAATATTAACTACTCTTCAAATCCATTTCAATGGAAATTGGAGCTTCTCATGCCTTCCAATTTTTATTAATGTGGCAGGCAAGGAATCTGAGCTATATTTGATGTACCTTGGATATTGTTAACTTCCCATATTCTTAATTACCAGACGTCTGATTTTGGGGGTGCATTAAATATACCTGATTTTCTGTTTGTTTGGACTATTTATCTGTGAGAGGATCACATAGACTTTCTACTGGTTCCATCTCAGTGATATATTTCTTCAGATACTACTTGAACCATGTCTTCTTTGGAAAATGAAATGGAGCGTGGGAACTCTACTCGAAGTCTTTTGAGTAGAGAACGTTCTGGTATGTTAATCCTAATAATTTGCCAACTTCTTTTGAATGCATGGGTTTTTATTTATTATTTATTATTTTTTATTGATGAAGCTTCTGAAGTACCTAGCTTGTTGACCATTAAAACCAGATGCCATTGGCAAATTGATTGACATGGTGTTTGTGGAGGGGAATGAGATCTACTATTCAATATGTCAATTGGTCCTATCCAATGACCTTATATACAGAATTCAATTTGACTGGATGTATTTTTTGATGTGATGAATAACATGAGGAATGGGTCAGAAAAAGATACCTGGATAGTTAAGATCACAAGTGGTATCAATTTGGCATATAATATTCCATTGGACCAATTGAATGGAATATCAATATCTTTGCATTTCTGTACAATTGCCAATGCATTGGTAGGCATGCAAAATACACCTAATGGCTGATCCCAAGAATTTTTGGAAATACATTTGTCTTATGGTCACCTAATTGCCAATGCATTGGACCAATTGAATGGCATATCCCAGCAGTTATTTCTTTACCTTTTCTTCTTTTTGGGTGCAGAAATGGGAAGCAGTGGCTATTTGATAGAGTCAGGTTTGTATCTCACATCTTTAGCTGCAATAAACTTCATTGCAGCACTTGTAACAGTTGGGATTTTATTTATAACGGTTTAGCATTGGCTGTCATGTTACAATCCTGTCAAAATAGGAATGCTGGGGTTATTGAGCTCAGGGAAACAATTGATGACTTTGATTATTGCAAAGCTTTTGCTCTACATGTGGAGGTTAACAACTTGGAACTGGATGAGTTTCCAACAATTTGTAAGACATATTTCATTTGGTACTTCAGAGAAGGTCAATATCTGAGAGATTTGAACTTGACCATGCTGATTGTTGAAAGATACTTTAGAAATTTGGCACCAGAGGATGATGGTTTGGATGTTAGCTTGATTGATATATATGATATTTTTCCCTCCAATCCTCATCATACACATCCATTGCTGTTGAGGTAATTTTTTTTAAGCCCTTTTGACTTATTCTCTTGATAGCATTGTTTTCTCCACCTTCTTTTTGAAGATTACTGTTGTGAGTAATAAAACATAAATGGCATCTAATCTTAAAGCATATTTTCTGGGGGTTATGAAATATAAAATAGTCCAAACAAATTGGAGAAGAATATTCTTCTATGTTGTTTCCATATTTTCAGTTTATCAAGTCTGACCTGCTCTTCATGCCATGTTTGAATTCACATTTACTTTGTTCAGGGAATATTTTTACTGCCGGGTGCATGGTTTAGATCAACAATCTGCATATTCTGTCAATGATTACATAAATGTCCTACTACTGTGAGAATATTGCCAACCAAAAATCAAATTCAGCTTTAAAAGCTAAATTCTCTTCCACTCTATTTTCTGATAGCCTCTCATTCTCCTATGAAGGCCATCAAAAGAATTGATAAAATAATTAAGAACTTCCATGGGAGTTTGGGGATTCCTAAAAGGATTATTTTGTGAATCGGATGACTATTTATAGGAAGAAGGAAGATTGTGGCCTGGCATTATAGAGTAACAGAAATACATAATTGTTAGGAAAGTTACTTTAGAAGTTTCCTGATGAATATCAAAGTGTTTGGCATTTAATCATTAAGAGAAGATATTGACTTTATGAGAACAATCAGGAATTTAGTTTAGCTAGTAGAGTGACTGTAAGGTGCCTTTGAAAAGCTATAGATGCCATCCCTCCACATTTTGAGAAAACATATCAGGTATGATCCCATTTCCATTAGGACAGTGAAAAATTTTGGGTGGGAACTTGGTCTAGAGAGATCCTTTTTTGACCTGAATGCTCTAGGCTTCACTCCATATAAAAAGACATTTGCCTAATGCTGGTTTAAACAATCCATGGTATTGGGATGGCTGCACTGGAAATGGACCTAACCTCTGGCATGTTTAACACGAAGCTGCCACTCTCAAACTTGAGCCTGCATTCTAACACTTGTCATCCCTAGACTGCACTCCATCTCTCTGCAAAAGCAAGTCCATCCTTGATTTGGTGGCTTTCTATCCAACTTACAGAGGCATGGGATGTCTATTTTCTGTTTTCTTCTTGTATTAATTGATATAGTTCTTTGATCATTATTGCTGATAAAATAGCTAATTTCCTGTCTTTTTGACACAGATCTGGACAGCATGACAGGAATGATTGGGTTGGAGAGGTGAGGCGTCTGGCTCATATGCGTTTTCTAAGATTGTTAATGAAGCTCCAATCTAGTGGGTGGTCCCTGATATTTATAACTAGGAAGAGAGAGGAACAGTGTAATGCTACCACAAAAGAACTCATTTCTGCAGGATATGGAGGATGGGCATCTTTGATTATGAGGTAACATGTCCTTGATCCTTTGGAAAACCTTGCAGAAAGAGGCTGGGCCTTGGCACAACAGTTGGGTTGTTCCATTGTGACCTGGGTGACCTCAAATCTTGAAAACAGCCCCTCTGTATGTGCATGGGTAAAGCTGTGTATATCTGTCCCTCTCCAGACCCCACATTGGTGGGAGCCTTGTGCACTGTGCTTCCCTTTATATCCTTGACCTTATGTAAATGGACAACAAGATGAAACAAGGACAAGTATTGAATTTCTAGTCTATATAAACCCCAACATCTCCCCCCTAATACATACAAAAAAATTAAAAAAAAAGAGAAAAAAAAAGAAAAAAAGAAAAAAAGAAAAAAAGAAAAAAAGAAAAAAAGAAAAAGAAAAAGAAAAAGAAAAAGAAAAAGAAAAAGAAAAGATAATCACCTGATTGATCTTCTATCCTGGGGATTTTCTAGGTTTTAAGGTTGTTCTAGTTAGGGATACTACTATTATTGAAGAACACTCATGTCTTCAATTTTATGGAGATCTAGGGAACTGGATTCATTATGAAATTTTGCATGTTGAACCAGTGTTTTAAAGTGTATGTGGCTCATGCCTGAAAGAAGCACTTTCAGGAAAATGCGTGATCATTCATTCCTTTATATTCTCTTCCTATACAAACCATTTCTCTTATGCGTGTTTTTTAGGTAATTCATGAAGCTTAAGCCTCATGCCCCATGCATCTAGATGCTTGCTTTTAAAACACTATGTAGAACTTATAGATGAATCAATGTGATTGTCCTCCATCTAGTGTAGAGAAGTTAATACGTGAAAATTGTGATCTTGTTTACCTTATATTCTCTGGGAGAATTTTTTCCAATTTTGTTTTGACACCTGAGACATTTTCCTTTTCCTAACTTGAGTTAGAAAATCCAAAACGTTGATTGCTTGATTTACATCATTTACTTGCACATGTGGTGGAACTTTTTGTGAAAATTAATCAACTATTCTCCAAATAGCATGGGTAATCATTTTTCAGATTTTGTTTTGATTTGATGGCCACAAATGGATTTACAAGGTTCTTTTGAAGGTCATGGTGGTCAAATTGATGATCATTATAGCCTCCAAGGGAAAAGCTCAAGCTGGGGTACCTGCAAATTGCTTTTGTGACACTGTTGTCAGTGGACCCTTGAAGAAGTTCCAAAAACCTAGCCCAGAGTTTATCTTAACCACTTCAGGATATGGATGAATATATCTTCCATAGTTGGTACATGTACCCTTTTTATGGTGCCTGTGAACCAATTCTATATATTGAATCTATTATTACATCTTTAAAATAAGAGGACAAAAAGAAAAGAAAATCTGAGTTCACAATTTTACCTTAGGACTGGGAACATATAGCTTTTAGACTCCTTACTTTGCATGCCCTGTAGTTTCTTTGGATTGTGCAGGATACAATTCTTCCTTGGGCGAGACTTTCTAGTGCTTTTGATCCCAACCTTAAGGAAAGAAAATGACATTTCTATATTGACTTGACTACCATTGGTTGACTGTTTCATATGCTTATATGCACGTATCAATGCAGATATTTTTGTCAGGTCCCTCTGCATCTTTGTCCTTTTAAACTCATTATCTTTTGATCAACTTCCACATTAGATTTACCTTGTTGTCGGAAATCTCAACAACCTAATCCTTCAACTAGTGTTAGAGACACGACTCTACAAGAATTACCTCAGTTTTTTCATTGCATTTTTCTAATGGATTTATATTCAGTTCTGAACTTATTTGAACCTTGATGGATCCTTTCTTGGGTCCATTTGTTGGTGGATTTAAATATTCCCTATTTGTCTTAATGGTCTGATTTGTAATACCCTGGCGGTAGTTTTTTTCCAGCACTGTTATTAGCTTGACAGGTTAGCAAAATCAGTACACTACCTCATGTGCATGGTTGTGTAATGGAGTCTGAGCATTTTATTTGTCCTTCCAAAAACCAGTATATTTTTTTAATGTTTGTGTGATATTTACGAGTATTGCCAACAAGCTTGGTTGAAGGCTATTGTTCTTGCAGATCGGATGATGAGATGCAAATGGATAGCTGGAAATTCTTTAACAAAAGAAGGGCAGAACTGCTGAATCAAGGTTTCCGTATGGCTAGTGTTATTAGCTCTCGGATGGATGCTTTAACAGGCCCATGCTTAGGAAAGCGTAATTTCAAGCTTGCAAACCCTATATTCTAAGGTAGAGCCTCAGATTGAAACAATGGAACTACAATAGAATACATTTGAGCAAGGTGGAAAAAGGACTGTTCATGTGTGTGTGTTATTTGGATGGTAGGCACCTCATATCATCTCCAACATATATAAAGGATGTTTTAAGAACCTTTTTAATTTTGGTGGGGGAGGGGGTGGATCCCCTAGCCCCTGCGTTCCACGGTGATCACAACCTTGTCATTTATACTGGCAGATGACAACCTCTTGTATATAATAGGTATTTTTTATGGCATGAAGAAGCCATTTTCTCAATTTATTCTCATCTATAATAAAGATTGAATTATCGATAGATTTTGGTCTATTTTCTAACATTAACTTCTGTCTCCACAGTCCTCAAATTTTGCCTCAGAGAAAGCTTTAGCATATGCTTGTATTGTATAAGCTTTTACTTGTGTACTCTCAAAGCCCGAAGGGGTTTAGCTTTAAGCTTTCAACATTTGCCTTTGGTAAATGAAGCCCAAGATTCATCATTTTTTGGGTCAGCTTTTATTACTCCAATCATGTTTGATGAATGGACTAAATGCTATTGCACCTCGAAGTTTTTAATCTATAATACTATTATAATTACGAATGAGTTTGTAGAGCTTTTTTTTCTTGACTAAAATGGCTCTATTTTTTTGTTAAAAATACCCATATTTATTAATTTGGTCATTGTTTAATTGTGAGAGAAGAAAATGTAATGTGAACTATTACTTTTTTCCTTATTTAGTTCCATCTCATTAAGTCTTTTATTCAAGGCATTAACTCTCATTCTCTCAGTTATTATGTTAGCTGGCTCGCTCTAACATGAATGTGGATTCGATTCCCACAATTACTGACTTGGGGGAGGGGGGTTATTAGTATGGTGCATGTAACACCAAATACCAAAAAAGAAAAAAAAAATTCTCACTCTCACACTAAGTCTTATATCTAATATATTTTTTTTCTCACCAATAAATTCTACTAATTAGATATATATCTAATACTTTTAACAATAAAACCCATGTTTTTTAAAACAGACAAAAAAATGAAACTATTTTTCATAGGTGGTAAGCAATTTAACCATCTGGATCAAATGGGTGATTCCATGATATCATAGTTAAATAATAAAAATGGTGAAATAGTAATAGATACAAAAAATTAAAAAATGAAGAAAAGTTTGAGAACATCTCTAATACTTTTCATTAATCATATTAAAGAAAAATGTGTAATAAACAAGAATTGTTTTTATTGATGATAAAAATGAAATATACAAGTAAAACCGATGCAAAAATAAAATGTTTTCCTATTTGATGCTAGGTCAACAGTTCAACCTTTCCAAGTAGATGCGATCTTTTTGTAACACCAACCTTACAGCATGTCCAAGTCACATATTGTGAACATTTCCCATACTTGTATGTTGTTATTCATGGGAACATGTTCCCAATGCATAGTAGGATTAGACTTGTTATGGGCAGGGCTTTGGGCTTGACTTTATATGGTTTCGGGCTTGGGGTTTAGGCCAGACCCATTAGAATTTTGGCAAAAGCCAAGCAGTCCAGTCCATGAACAGGTCTAGGTGGAATGTACTGTGAGGTCAGTGTGACCATGCATTTTAGGAGTAAACTCTGATTCCTTTTCAAGTCAATTGTGTCAATCCTTGACGAATAATTAAATAATAAAATTCTAAAAAATAAAACACAAAAAATTGCAAAAAAATTATATAAATTTTGTAAAAAAATTTAGGCACATCTATAATATTTTATATGCATCATATTGAACAAAACAAGTATGATAAATAAAATGATTTTTATATACACAGAAATATTAAAAAATTAATAAAGAATAAACATTAAAAAAATTTGGACAGATATCATCATCATCATTGCACGTGCACATTTGCTTGTAAAAGTTAAAAAAAAGGACAAAAGCACGTTCAGCTTCACGTTATTCTCGCAAAATTGGTGCACTTTTTATTTTTTTGGTCCTAAATTAATATGAACTTATGAAGCAAAGTTGACACTATAGAAAGCAATCAACTAATTAATGGCAATTTTGCAAAAAAGATTTAGCTAATGGCAAGTGCCACAACTCACAACCTGCTGACTGGTGTCACAACAATTTTCAATTCTAAATTTTACAACCACTTAATCGATATGCATCATTAGGAGTTCACATCTCCGCCCCACCAGGAGCTGTCCCACGGCATATTCCCGCTTTGTATTGTGAACTTCTTCCAATGATAGTATCAGTCTTGATGACATCATCATTAGGGGTGGATACGAGTCAAGTTAAGCTGAATATTTGACTATTCGAATTCAGTTCGATAATAAAATAATAAGCTCAAATTTGGTCTTGAGCTCAATTCAAACTAGAAATATCAATTTGAATTCGGCTCGAATAAAAAACATTTATATTCAAGATCGGTTCGGCTCAAGCTCAAAATGAACCGAGCCTATTCGAGCTCGAATCCAAGCCTTTGAGATCAAATTTGAACTCGAATCCAAACCTATCCGAACTCGAATTTGAGCTTACTCGAGCTTGAATTCGAGCTTAGTGTTTACAACCTCTGAATAATTCATGGTCACACAAGTTTTCAAGTCAAGGACAAGTGGCAACTATTTCCACCGAATATTATCAGCTAAGCCATTTGGCAACTTTTGTGTCACACATTTATCACAAAATTATTAGTTAAAGAGAACATTTTCGGCGGCAGCGTCTTCACTTGTTGCACACTCGCACAGTCACACTTGCTCTCTGCTCGTCTCTCACAATTGCAGACTTGCAGTTTCGTATTCTCACTTCTCAAGTTCTCAATCTCAAACCAGTTTGAGTTTGGCAACTCAAGATTCAATCGAGGGTTTTTTCTCAATTTCTCAATTTCAAACCAGTTTGAGTTCGACAGTTCAAGATTCAATCGAGGGTTTTTTCTTTCCCTCCCATCCCAGACATTAGATAAAGTAAGAAAATATAAAATACAATAGGGACCACAATATAAGTGTGTGTACACCAATAAATTTAAATATAAATTATATAATTATATATAAATATAAAAATTATATATATATATAGGGTTCGAATAGGTTCATGAACCTAACGAACCGAATTGCATAATATTCGAGCTCGGCTTGATTAGTAAACGAGCTCGGTACTCAGGCTCGAATTCGGTTCGAAGCTTGGTTTGGACCAAGCCGAACCGAGCTCAAATAGTTTGTGAAAAGCTCGGTTCACATCCACCCCTAGTCATCATCAAGAGATGTTTTCAATACATGGCGGAGATGTACTGTGGGGCAGAGATGTGATCTCCATCATTAGGCATTGTTAATGTTTGCATGATTAATTAGTTGTCAAACAAGTCTTACAAGTCACACCACTTGCTTATTGCCGTAAGTGAGGCTGCCAAAGAAGCTGTGTGGATGAAGAAGTTCGTTCACGAGTTGGGAGTTGTTCCGTCCAGCACATCACCCATCCCATTGTTGTGTGACAACAATGGAGCCATTGCTCAGGCTAAGGAGC